AAATTCGGTCGCTTCTGAGGCTGATTGTAGCGATTTGTTTCCCCTCATTATTCGAACGTGTGCAGAGGCCAAAGGGCGCAGAAGCGCATCCAGGTGCTTCATGGGATTTCACTTTCGGAGAGAAATTTCTATAAGAGTCATTAACCTGAAATCTGGTTTCAGTGAAGTGGAAGTTTGCGTCGCTATCGGTGGAGTACTTCTCGGATGCGGTGAGAGACACGAAATCCCATTCACTGTTGCCCTAAAAAGGGATAAGTCGTAGTAACTATCATTTAAACATACCAAGATGAAGAGACTCGAGTACAAGCAGGAGTTAATGGAGAGTTTGGCCAGCGGATCTCGAAAATCTGAACTGACTACCTCAAATCCGTCACGTGCAGCTTCTATGCTTTCTCCTGGAATAGTGTACCTCTTCGTCAGTGTAAGACCATGGACCAATATCGATCATACATATTTGAGAATAAGGGAAAATTGTCAACCTGAAGAAATGGAAAGGTTGGATGAGGTAGAAGTTGTAGATAGGTCTTCTTAGTCGGTTGGGGTTAGTGGGTTAGTTCTCGTCTGCGACAAACATGCTTGGAAGATTTGTTGCTGATCAATTCTATGTCGACAGTAATCGACAATCGAATGCTATGGCCTCATCAACAAACGATTGTACTATGAACTGTACAACCCTTTTTTCACTAGGGGTGAACTAGATGATCTCAACAACGTGAGCAGGAAATAATAAAAGCGTCGGATAGAAAATCATCAGACCATTTCGCTCTTTAGCAAGCTGATGGATCGAGGTCGGCCATGGGATGGATGGTTTAGCCATGTTGCTGGGCCAGCATTTTTGATAATAAGTAGGTAAAAGAAAGTGATGAAGGGTCTCTGGGAACATCGCTTGCCATGTGGGACAACTGCAGTCGCTCTTAGAATGCTTTTTGCCATGTGGGGACAATTGTAGTCGCTTTAGGAATGCCTCTCTTCATGTGGGAACAACTGTAATGGCTATGGTAATGCTTCTTGACATGCCGGAGCAGCCGTAATCGCTAGCTGAGCTCAACTGCTGCGGCAATCTTTCTGTACCGTTCTTTTTTCTAATTTCTATAGCATTTTGAATGGTAAGGGTCATTATGATTCATACCGTAATGGACTAAAAAACGTACGGACCTTCATGTTGCAAAGATTCCTGTAGACAGCATAAACACTCATTCTTACAGTCCCATCATAGAAAACGTCCAAATAACGCTCGCTGGCTTCCAGAAGCACCTCCTTGGCTATACTGTAGAAACACGAAGTAATTATATACGTCGGTTGGAGAGTTATGAGAGAGTACCTGCTTGAGACGGTCACATCTGGCCTCCAGACTTGAATTTCTTTGATTTTCACCCTTGTCTGTCCACCATGCTCCATCGGATTCCATTTAAGAAAAGCATCCTTCCATTCGAGGATGAATTCTGCAGAAAACGTCGCAGTCTCTTCCGCTTGGTCCTGAAATTCTTGAAAAAGACGGCATACTGACTGCCTGCGAAGTACTGCTGTGAACAAACCATCCGTAATAAGCTGAGGCTATTGGCACTGATCGTGATATTCACTGTTTCGTTCTCATTGAACACTGGGCGATCACTGGCGTTGTAACCACTATCCAGTAGATGGCGTATCAGCAATGAAACCTGGGATTTAGCTCCCAGTCCTGCAAAATAGGTGGTTGCACCCCATAACGTATAGAAAATCAATTTAAGGGACAGTATCGACTTTCGTAATGCTGGATCTCATAGCTGAGGCTGTTGAATAGCTCCCGAGCTCGTGCCTTTTGGGATAATTTTCAACTCAACTAGGGACAAGGATTCCACCAACGAGGACGCTGAAGTAATAGATGAGTCCTGGCCCTCAGTCATCGTGTGAACAGCACCTTCAATTGACCGTTCACTGCCTGATGGACCGGTAAGATTCATTTTCCGAAGAATCTGTCCAAAAACTCGGGAACCATCATGTAGGCTTGAAATAAAAAAAGGATAAAGTCTTCTGGCGGTAATCAGTCCCGTCTGAGGACGGATCAGAATTAACATGACTTGTGATGGCCAGCCGTTGTAGAAGTCAGGGCTTTAATCCTTCCGACTACATAAGTCTGGTACTAATTAACCGGCCCCGAAGGCATAGAAGGCTTGGTGGGCTCAAGCGAATAGCTATCCGAGGTTCGAACCTGTGACCGTACGTGTTTGATATTGCACCATTTGCCGCTACACCACCTCCTGCCTAATGTAAGCTTATGTCGGTCAAAGAAAAACGAACAAGACAGGGACTACCGGGCAATGGTGTCCAGCCAACGTAATTTGTGAAATCTGCCATTTTTCCCAAGCAATTGCTAGAGTTGCGTTCGCCCTAAGAGTAACGAGTGATGCCAATTCTACAGAACTATTCAAATCCTTTGCCAGAGGAGTAGGATGAGGCGAGCATCCTTCTTCATTTGGGCACCTGACTCGTTTATATTAGATGAGCTGGTCATCCTTTCGAAATGAAAATTTAACCGTGAATGCTTCACTCGTATATAATTCCTCGAGGCCAGTAACCTATCGAAACGGAGAACCTCGTACTCATCTTAGGCTATACCGCACCTTGGGTCTGCCCGAGAAAACTAAGCTTCCTGAGACCGCAGTGATGTTCCATAAGCTATATATTCTAGCTTAGTGTACTTCAAGTGAACTCATTCAGAGGAAGAATTCAAAGCAATTATGTATGATAATAAGAAAACTACCTGTTTGACCTAGAACGATGAACAGCCACAATAGCATTCCTAGGCAGTTCGAAAGTATCAGCGATGGGCCAAAGAGAAATGTGATACGAATGAATTAAATATTGCCGAGGTCCCAGTGAGGAATTTTTCGATCTCATCGGTCGAGTATGAAGTGAGCGGTGGGAAACTCCAATCCACAGCGTTCGCGCGGACACCATTGAAAATGCATTGATATGTAGCAAATGACTTGAAATGAAAAATGTATATGATCAGCACAAGAAATGGCGGTCCCTGATTGTGGTGAACCTACGAAAACTCAAGGCTGAATAGTTTTGGTATTCTATTCAGGTTCCTTCCAGTTGACCACAAAAGAATCGAACTCTCGTGTAAAAAGGGTAGTTTCCATTCTTGAGATGTGCCGTGCGTTTGACTTCCATTCAGAATCATAATGGCATTTGAATGTGTATGTGGCGTATGCAATTAATGGCGATGTCCAGCCGAAAGTCAGTTATCTCCTGATGCTGCAGTGTTCCCTACCGCTTACAGCACTTAGTTTTGAATTACTCACTGGTATAGGAAGTTCGAAGAGAGCGCTGGCGTCCAGTGCTCTACTAAGTGACTAATTTTTTTAGGTTTTTTTAGAGTTTTCAAATCGGATTGGGCAAACTTCTCAAGTAGCCCCTTCATTAGCATATTCAGGTGGTCATGTGTCGTGAGGACACGATCACAACGTTCTGCACAAATTTTTATAGGTGCATTTTGAAAAGTGGAATGGTAGGTCAGTTCAGAGAGGGCAGGTCACCGTCCCAAATCAACAATTGGGCCGCCCGTTAGCAGTTCAATACCACCCTCACCCGTCTGCTGCCTGGACCCCTGTCACCTCATTGGTTCTTTTTTTCAATATTTTTTATTTTGTTATTGATTAGTGTAAGAATGACTAGTGTTTCTTGTCATAAATGACCCTACTACTTTTCAGAACAAAAAGAATCTGCCCCATATCCCAGTTCTCACTCCTCCCTCCCCCCCTCCTTTCTCCCCCTCCGTTGTCCCCGCTTAACTATTATTCATTTTCA